CCCCCGGTAACAACAGCAGCTGTAACCGGTTCCTCAGCATCTACCTCAAACACCCACCCCGGCCCGCTCGCCGCTGGTAGACAGGGGAAGAAACGGGGCGTCCCCCAAGGAGAGTTACCCTAACCCCGGGTCACCTCTGGAGAGAGGGAGAGACAGAGATTGCCTCAGCAAACAGGTTTTTTTGGGTGGTGGGTTGTGGGGTTTTTTCTAAATAAAGGACCTGTGAAAACAAAGATGTGGGCAAACAAATTTTATTTAAGGGCATACTGCTCTCAACAAATATTTGGACACGCAGAGTTCAGGGAGGGAAAGCCAAGTAAACATGAAGGTATGCTTCATAATTAGCGCAGGCTCGCGTAACTGTTACACAGTCTGCCCACACAGGGCTCCGGAGGGACCGTTACTTCACGTAAGAAGCAGAGACAAACATTTTTCACAAGTGGCAATGTACTTTTGGGGATATGACTTCTTAATTTAGGTCCCCTTTAAAAAAAAAAAATGAGTTTGTTGAATGTGTGTGTCAATACCAGGAACAAACAGCTGTTCTGTTCATAGCCCGACAACTAGATAAACCCTTAGGTCACAAAAATCTGGCTTATCCCAGTCCCACCAACCTCCTTGTGGTCCCAGAACTGGTTAAATCAAGTTGTTGACAAGTGCCTCTTTAGGCTGTAATCTAACCTTGTATCAGCCTGTCAGCTGTGCTGAGAAGCATATCCTGAACAGAAACGAAGGAAATACATGCTCAGTATCTGCTAAGGGTTTAATTAGTTCTTGTTAATTGGAGGTAGGCTTGTTTCATTTGTTAGACCCGAGTGTTGAAAAAATTGTTTCCTACTTTGAAAACTGAAAAGTTGGAGATCAGAAAAGCGCTAATTGCAGTATGAGTGAAATAGTCACTGGGCTGTACTGCATTTAAGTTCCAGTAAGAACCACTACTGAAAGCTGTTGCCTTGATCTTACTTGTTTGAAATCAAAGATTGGTAGTAGTGAACAGAGAGTACCACTGGTGCCAGTGCAGTGTTTGGTCCTTATAAAAAACAGGAGCTCATCCCTCTCTAAAGTGGGAGGGGAGCAGAGTACACTACCAAGCACTGAACAAGAGGCTGGCTGCTGTCATGCATTTAATATTTAGCCAGTCAAGAGTGTTCACTCTGAAAGTAGCTGTTGTGACCTGAGAAAGTGTCGATTTATTCTTAAGTTTTCAGAGAATTAAGGTCCTTCTGCCATGCTGCAGTGATGCTGAGCAGAGTTACTGCTAATGGTCTTGGGGCTACCTGCTTTATTTCAACCCCGAGGTGGCCCTCTGAGCTTCACCACTCTGTTCCAGTTTCCTCCCCAAGACTGAAGCCAACAGCCCTCTGGTCTCGAGCCTCAGGGCATCCAGGATTTTCACAACTTTTTCACCCAGGAAAACAAACAGCTGAGACATGTAGATAATCAGAGAGGACAGCAGCAGTTGAATCCTCAGGACATTAGAGATCTGGAACTTTGTCTGCCAGTTGCTCCAGATGAGAGAAGAAAGCATGGTGCGCAACAGCTAGTGAAGAAAAGGAGGAATAGAATTGTCATGGCAATGATGTTTTCAGAAAAGGTTCAGTTCTCAGTAGGATATAAATGATTTGAGACCACAACAGCTTATTCCATTCCTTTATTCACCCAACACAACTAGCAAGCCTTTCAGTATGAGTATTATATCCTACAAGAAACAAGTTTATACCTCAGTTCTTCAGACTGTTCTGTTCAAATCAATACTTGTACATGTGAAGAGCTTCTAGAGAGCCAAATGGCAGACAAGTCTAAGCTCATTCTTAGCATTGCTTCTCTGGCCTTTAAACAACAATGGGGAAAAAAAAACCCTGTTACTACACTCCCTTGGTGGTGTTAATAATGTCAAAGCGACTTTGAATTGAGATATTACTGGTTCCATGCTAAAGCTCAGCTTCAGGGGGTGCTATTCAAACAACTGCAGCACTTTAAGATGGTACCAGTCCTTAGCTATTCTAGTCTAACAAAGGTTACCTCTCCAGCAAAACTGGTGGAAATAAATGTGAGTACCTCAGTTGCTGCAATTCAAAAATCCCAGTAATGTAAGTAAGTAGACAGGACTGTGAATAGTGACAGGGGAGGCATAGACCAGCTTTCCCTTCTGAGCCCCTTCTGCAAAGGAACATACAGTCAAGGCACAGGGAACACACAAAATACTAAGCTCTTCCACTGCTTCAAATGTATCATTTGGGATTTGTATAAAACCTTAGAGGATTGGGACCACTGCGTTTGTAAAGAGACTTCTAGCTTCAGCTTTTATTGAGCAAGTGAAGCATGTCTAATTTTTAGTCACATATTCCACTATAAGAAATCTGAAGCAGTTTTTAAAAATACACATCAGCCATACATACCAGGAGATGTCTATATACAGTTGAGTTAAACTTCTTATCTTAGAGGAATAGGTAGCAATTTTCACTGCTTCAAATACAATTCTCAAGGACTTTTAAAATACATATTCATACTTTTAAATATACACACACATATATTTATACAGTACACACATATGATAGTTATTCTGTACAATTTTGTTACCTTTACCTTGTCTACAAGAAGAGTCATCCCAAATAGGGAAGACAAAAAAAAAAAAATAAATCTCGTTAGTCATTAACCAAGCAGAAACCAATCTTGTAGCTTTCTCTTACCCAAGAGGCTGGGGAGTCAGACAGTGGTAAAAAAAAAAAAAATCAGAGCAAAGGCACAAAAACAGTAGATATGCAAAGAGATAGTCTGCTCACACTACTCACCATCATGATGTTACAGAAAATGCTTTTCTCAGTGGGGGAATATCTTATCTTCCGGCTCTGGAACCAGCTGTCAGAGATCACAGCAAAAAGACTTTGCTTTTGGCTTTTTGGATTTGAACTCACATAAGCAAGCTTGGGCCTGAGCTTTCCTGCAGATCCACTGGATTGCATCTCCTCTTGCATCTCTGTACTGGATGTGTCATTCTGGTTTTCTTCTTCTGTTGGTTCATCCTCAAATTTAGATTCAGAATCAGATTCATCAGAAGATTGTTTCTTTATTTCTTCTGCACTGGGCATCTGTGCTAGAAATGAGTTTAAAAAGAATATGTAAAATACCTGTACATGACTTTTTCCTCCCTAGCTGCAAGCCTTACATGTTCCATCCAGCAGCTGGGCAAGGTTCTTCTGAACCTTTTTCAGCTGAAATAAAGGATTTCTAAACCCAATGAGGCAATAAGAAGCCTGTACAAGTGTTTGATTTTAACCAATTAGCTCTTAATCAGCAACTATATTAAAGGAGGAGCTGAAACACACACCACTTTTTACTTGTGCCTGTTGCAAACTAGCATAAAATAAGTGGATATGACTGAATTAGTTAGGAAGTTATTAAAGAGTATTGTTTTATTTTCCTCTCTTAAGAGTGATTGAGAACTCTTCAATGTTCTAATCTTGTAAACACATTAGTATGTAAAAAAATTAGTAATGTGACTAGTCTTATTGATTAAAAGGGAATTTAGAGCATTTGTGGAAATTGTTAGACACTGGCACTAATAACAGTCACTATAGAGCCAGAAACTGTGAGGGTAAATGTAGTAAGCATAACCTGAAAATCTCATTCAAACCATCAAGAGATTCCAAAGTTACTCTGTCCAGGCAAAAAACTGACACTCAATTTAAGCATATGTGGCACAGCTACCCTTTACCTATGCAAAATAGATATTTTATTCTGCTTTCCAGACATCAGCAGTAAGCTATGCCTGTGCTGCTCAGGGTAGCTTGTACAATTGTCACAGCCTCTTATAACCTGCACTTTTTAATTTCTGTCCTTGGTTACCCACAAGAGTGCACTTAAGTGTGGAGGGAAGATGCTTTACTACTGAAGCAAGCAGAGGCTGTTATGAGCATCAGCTGTGTGCTAAGGCTGCAAAATGGGAGCTGAAAAGAAAAAAATCACTGTGCAGACACACGCAGGACAGGAAAGGAGGGAGGAGCACAAGCTTTTGCTGTGGTGAGTACCTCTTGTTCCTCTGCTGTCTGTGGGTATTGTCTCATTGTCACTATTCCTATGGGATCTATTATAGGACTTGCTACCACAATATTAAGTAAGAAGAGAGGGCACTAAATAGAAGTAAAAGCTTGCTGAAGTAAAGTTTTGTTCTTATTCTCCTTCCTACAGTTGTTCTGCAAAGCTTTTGAACTTATGATTGATTCCTCAGCCGGGATTGCTTATGCTCCAGCATTAGAGCAAACTAGCAAGGCTTTATCCTCATGAGTACATCAACAAGCCTATTATTAGCCTAAGCCAAAGCCTGTTATCAGTTAGTGACATGCTAGAAATAAGAATCAGTGATGGACTGGAAAGAGAAGCAAAATACACAAATAAATGAAAATGCATGTCCTGCTCCCTTCAAAAATTTTCTGTCAGCCTCAGCATTGATAAAAGAATCCATTAACAGATCCCCCAGTAACACCCCCAAAAGAAGAGAAGTGTAAGAGAACTATAATGCCATAGTTTGAAAGTGTACAAAATTAGAGGGTTAGGTTTGCTTTCTTGGAGATTTTTTTTCTAGAAATTTGCAAAAATTACTTGTCTTTTGCCTTTCTTAAACTGTTAGCTCTGAGAAAAAGGGAGAGGATGAGGAAGAAGAGCAACAGCAGCTTGTCGTCTTATAAGTATTTTTAACAGAAAAGCATAACAATTTGAGTTTGGTTTTCCATATGCTACCAAGAGTACTAAAAACACCTTTAGTTTCCTTCTGTGACAAGTGGCATTAGCCTAAAAATAGCTAGCAGAGTGCTTTAAAGATGAAGCTAATAGATAAAGCCCTTATGCAGGAGCATTTTAACAGATCAACTGCAGAACTTACCTTCATTAAGCAGAAGCTGTAGCCAGATCATCATTATGATCAACAGCATTACAAATGGCAAACAAAACCAGAAGAAAAGAAGAGGAAAGGTCAGATCATTCACCAAAGGAACCAGAGGATACTTCATTGCTTGCTTCAGGTTACACTAAGTTTATGCTGGCTTGCCTGCTCTGCTTTGCTAACAATCTTGTGATAACTCTCATTGCATCACTGTGTTAATCACAAGAAGACAGCTGATATACTCAGCATGGTTAGCAAAAGGGACAGCCCTGTGCTACACGAGGAGGGAGTAATAAGGATTAAATGTGGGATAAGGACAACTGAGAAAACATCTATCCATCCTTCAGCTGCTATTTAAAGGATGAATACAAGTCAGGAAGCTTTCAAGGCTACCAATAGTTAAAGGTATGTTTACGTCTCCAGATACAGGAGAGAGAACCAAGCACTTCAGCTACTTTGAAACTGGGTAGCCAAGGTTGCTTTTGAGAAATTGATAAAACATAATCGACCCTGCAGAGACGTGTAGAGGATGACTAGCTAAAAAATACTTCTCCCAGGCTTTCTTATTCAACATGGAGTACAAATATGGCCCATGTTAAGATGGACTCTACTTTTAGCCTACTCTCTCTGTTTCCATCTATTAGTTAATCCATTAGGAAAATAAACCTTTGTATTTTAATTGCCTTTCTATCTCCTTTCCCTCCAAGAAAGGCAAGCCAGCATGTTTCATAGGATATGTGTCTATAAATGTATTGCTTGACAGTAAAGGAGTTCAGTAGTGATCAAAGTAGGAACAGATACGTGACTTTGGTAACTTGATATCCATCACGCTGTGTGTTTCTTCTTCAATAAAAGAAAATCATTATGTATTGCTTACCTCACAGGGGGTTGTTTGGCTAAATTAATTGTTTGTGTAGCTCTCAGCTGCTCTCTTCTAAGGTTTACTATGTAAATGCACATTATGAATGATTGCATGCATTTAACGTTCTTGCTTGTGTGCATGTGTTTTTATGTAGTAACAGCCCCTTGAAATGAGCCTTTTAATCCCAAGATCTAAATGAACTTTGTAAATTCTTATTAACTCACGTTAATAACATCCCTGTGTGATAAAAGAAAGCTATTATCCCTACTTTGTGCATTGAGTAAACAAGTGAGAAAAGCCATTAATGACCTGAGGGTCAAGGATGCTAAATATTTGCAGTCCCCCTTTCACGCTGTGGGGATTGCTGGTTGGTGGTATTTTTGAAAATCAGGCTCTTAGTGGTTTATCTACAAAAGAGTGATGGCAAGGAGCAGAATCCAGAAGTTGTCATCTCTCCAGTTTTAACGGTAAAGCGTTTCTCTGGGTCATGTCACCGGGACCCCTTGGGGTCCACACGGCCCCTCAC